CTACTTGTGGGCTTGACCTTCGTCTTAGCCATGACTTGTATTTGTCTTCTGCTAGCCAACGCTTGTTGAAACTGCAACCTCCTGGCACACAGTCATCTATCACACTCATCAGAATGCCCAGGTCACACGCAACACAAACACTTGCAGGTCGCGCGCATAGCGCGGGAAGGCCGCAGCGGAGCTGTTTTATGTAGAAGCGAAGCAATTATTTTCTTTTAATCTAAAAAGCGAACTATTCAGTCAGACAGCAATTTATTGTAAAAGTAAAGCATTTACATTTTCAAGCACTTTATCTCAATTTCAAGCACCATTCCCAAAATGCAAGCACTTTCCCAACCTTGAAAACACCACGTCAAATTACAAGCATTTTCAAGGATTTCAAGCACCCGTACGAACCCTGTGGAAGGACTTGCCACTGCCTGCAGATGCCACGAAATGAGCCAGGCCCTACTGCGTTTTTGTTTATTAACGTCGCAAGTTTGTATCTTTCAGTGTTGAGGTGGGCACCGTTAGATTCTGTGTCTTTACGATCATAAACGATGTGTTGGATGTGCAGCTAGGATAAGTAATAAGGGAGCTAGGAGTGATTTTCGGTGCAGTAATAGGTTAGCATTTTTCGCTCTGGGCTAATTCAGAGGCTCAGAGGATAACAGAATTATCTGTTTTATTTTTATTTATTTGTTCACAACAGTTGTATTTGGATGGAATGAATACCTACAGTGATAATTCAAAGTAATAAAATGATTTTTACAGTGAAAAAGTTCAAATGGAACTGATGGTTCCCAAATTACCCAGAGGTGAGTCCGCTTGGACTTTATTTTTCTAAACCTCTCTAAAAAGGTCAAATTTCACTTGTTTTGCATCAATCTTGATACAGGGTACTTATTATGTTATAGTTTGGATTCCTAAAGCTTTTAGTCTACTAGCCCATCATTCAAGGGTGGTTTTCACTATAAGTAATGAGTTTTTTTTAGGCGGACATTAGAATTTACATGTTTTTACTGTGTTCCATCTGAATTTACTTTAAAATAAAAACATCTATATTGATTCTGACACTTCTACATCCAACTCACAGATGTAACCTTGCTTTGAGAGAAAATATTATTAATTTACCCCTTTTAGAAGTGAAGATATAGTCTTTGTTGTTTTAGTGGCATTTTCGAGCCTGAAACCTGAAAAACAGGCTCAGGGCTTAAGAGGTTAATCGCCTCATATTTGCCATGGTGTGGGGGGTCTGTGATAAATCCCACCAACCTGGACGACGTGGAGCTCCCCAGCGTTGCTACCACATGGTAGTATTTCAGATCCCCGTCACGGACCTGTCGGCAGGCGAAATGTGCCTCCACGTGTGCGAACCATGCCTCCGCGGCGTGCTCCCAGAATTCCGGCAGCTTTATGAAAACATCGCGCTCAGCCATGTTCGTTAATTTTCCGGAAACTTTCTCGGAAAAGTCAGGGTCACCAGTGTAGTGCCGTGAAAAGAGAGTCGGAGGCGGTGTATTAAGAATGGAGTTCCAATCTTTATTATCCATTAATATCAGAGAGGTTAACACATGCACTGCTCTGCCTGATGAGCTAGCAGGAATGGCAGCTAAAGCTACAGGTGTTCCCCACTAAAGGGTCCGTGTGGCAACACAATAAGCAAGGTGAATTATGGTCCCACATGGTGTCACCACACTACCATGTTTAATCATGTTTTATGCCGCTTGCTAAGACTTGATAAGTCGCTCATAAAACACAGGAGGTATGGAAACTAAGAACACCATATGTGGTAAATTGTACAGCTAATATAACACAACACATTAGTTGTATTTCCTTTAACTGGTGGATATAGAGTTGCTGCAGTGGAGACGCTGCGCACAGCTGATCGACAGCTGGGACACAAACCACCAAATACGAAAACTTAATTCAGATCCAGTCGTCATGACTCCACTCCGGAGGGATTCCCCGATCATTTCTTACAGTTTCTCATCAAGGGGGTGTCTCCTGTCCCCGGTACAAACACACTGCCTGAGGAAGGCTATGTGTATTTTTTTTGTCATGAACCTTTTTCGGACCACTTATTTATTTATTTTGGTGACGATCCGACCTCCATGCTGCTACTCTGGTTCAAACGGCATCCAACAAACAATATGATTTATCTCGACCTCCCCAAATTAACCAAAATCTGACACGGTGTGAGATGTCTTTTTTAGCTGTTCTGTCGTCATTTCCTGCTATCTTCTTCATAAAGTCAGTCAAAATGAATGAATGAATGGGCGTTTCTTTGACTATTTATAGGCAAATATGGGCGTTACGTGAAGCCCGCAAAAGCTGCACCGCATTTCCAGTCGATTGTGATTTATAAAGGGAAACCGGCGTAGGAAGTGCTGCACGCACTTTCCTCGCCGGTACGCAATGTTTGGTGAATCGGAAAATGTCTGTACCTATTTTTTGGATTTCTACTACGTAAGCACTAAGCAACCTTCCCACGTGAATCCTACGCACGGCGTTATAAATGAGGCCCCTGGTAACTAATTTATTCTTGCAAGAAGGAGCAGAGTTAAATCACATACAAAGGATATGGGTTAACTCACACACATGGGGTATGTTGCTCAAAGGAACAGCAAAAAACATCAGGCTTATATAGTCCAAAACACAGGAGATAACAACAAAGTCGTAAATCGAGGTGGCGCTAATATCAGCCGCGGGCAGGGGCGGACTGGGGGAAAAAAGTGGCCTGGGGATTAATTGACAGACAGGCCCACTTAATGCGCGGCATGTATCGGCCGGCCAGCGACGAAAGTATGTTACTTAACATTAAACATTAAATGCATTTAATGTTATTTTGGACCATTATTCATATAGTAATCACATTACCTGAGCCCTTGAGTTGCATAGAGCAAAATAGTTACGGCATATATTTAGTGATTTTAATGTTAACAGATCATTGATGCAATAACATTTTGACCCAATTTGTCTGACTTGACACATGGAATAAAACATGGGCGTAGGAAGCATCCTCAATGTGGGTGAGACAATTTAACAGGGGGTGTGAGCAGGTGCTGGACCTCACCTCCTCTAGGGGGGTCCGGGGGCAAGCTCCTCCGGGAAGATTTTTTTTTAAATGTTGAAGTTAAATGCATCAATCTGGTCCATTTTGAGAGCAAAATTAGGGACTAAATCTATGGCAGTCAGTAGGGCCTTGGACTGTGAGCCGTAGGGTCGCCGGTTCAAGTCCCCGACCAGACCTATTTGGAGTGTGGACTTCTACTTGGAGATGTCCCAGTTCACCTCCTGCCCTGCCGTGGTGCCCTTGAGCAAGGCACCGGACATCCCCCTTCCCCCCTCACTCCCATTGCTCCCCGGGCACTGTACAATAGCTGCCCACTGCTCCTAGTACTAGACTCCTGGTACTAGGATGGGTTAAAAGCAGAGAACACATTTCACTGTGTGTGCTGTGTGCTCTGCATGTGTGACCATTAAAGAGGGTTTCATCCCTCCCAATTCTTCTTCTTCAACACCCATATACAACAGAACTGTAAACAGATTAACTTTTTCTTTCAACATTTATTTGAACAGCAAATGGAGGCAAAAGTGACTGCACCCAAAACAATAAACCTGCTAGCTAACTAGCCTAAACTCAGAAACAGAATGTGGGCAACACGTTCTTCTCCACAGCCGCGCGACCTCTGAGTCAGACATCACTTCCCCATTTTCTATCTTACGGGTACAGCCGTACAGCCACTCCCCCTGAACCCTGTTGTAACAACATAATACACTTTTTGGGGATGCAGCTTGAGATGTGAGGACATGGCTTAGAAAGGGCGTGTTGCCTTCTGTCCTGCCAGTGTTGGCAGGACATGAATTAAAATGTCGAACTCGGACTTCATTTTAAGGACATTTCGGCCAGGGGTGTAGAGCTATATTTGTTTAAGCACCGGATTGGCAAAACAGGAGAGTGTGAGCACCAGTCTGCCTTGATCTATGAATTCATGTCTGTGACTCTCACAGTATCTGCTGCCCGCAGCTGTTTTATAGAAGGAAAACCTCCTTCACTTCATGAAATCTCTGCAGCACCAGGAGGCAGCGGGAGGGTTAACTCAGTCTCTGAGAAGAGGAGCGTGCAGTGCCTTTCACGCACCGCCTTTCACGCACAGCCTTCACTGTGTTTACCTTCAGAATCATTAGAAAGTCTAAATAGCGGTGTGGCTGATGTGTTTTAACCACACACCTCTACACACACACACACGATTTAAACGCAGACTTTTGTTCCTCCATGTTACGTTGTTATTGTTTCACTGAGCGGACCTGCACATTTTTTTCAAACGCTCCCCTTTTTGGTCCATCTGCGCGGTTTTGTGCGCTGTGATGATTCGGCTTTACCTTTAGTAATGAATATTAAATGTTGTGAGGAAATCTTTCCACCAATAATTCCAATAAGTAATCCAAAATGTATTCACTTCAGGTTTACGAAAGTAACTGTAATCAGATTACTTGTTTTTCAAATGTAACGCGAGCTGAATACAGTTACTTGATTTTTGTATTCTGATTACGTAACGCCGTTACATGTATTCCGTTACAACCCAACCCTGGCCACACCGCACTGGGCTGGACTGGAACACTTACAAATGTGGGCCGGTAGGATTTAGGCAAAAAAAAAAGATTTTTTTTTTTTTTTTATAAACTTTTTTTTTTTTTTGGCCCTCCGGCCCAGAAACAGCACCGGCCCACCGGGGAAACTCCCGGTATTCCCAATGGCCAGTCCGCCCCTGGCCGCGGGTGTCGGAAAGTCGGGTCATCTGCGATGGGTCATCTGTGATGTCTTCTGGAAAGAGTCACGTACTTCCTTCACGCTTCATAGAAATTAGATATTTAGGAGACAGCAAGTCTGTCTTCTCATAAATATCAACAACCTGAAATGCCCTGCCTCCTCCTATCACAAGAAGAGGCAGCTGCAAGGTCATACACAGTTCAGAGCCACACATGATATCAGTGCATTAACGGCTGAGGTAGGTAGATTGTATTGGCACATGTTTTAATGTAATCCGAATGGATGCCATGGCCTAATTCTTTCTCTGTACATCGTCAGTTTCTATCACTCAGACCCGTTACTGTTTCCCTGCTAATGTCCACTCTTTAAGTTCTACTGGGTTCTGTTGGTTTCTTCACTGGTTTGAGACAAATGCCCTTATTGGAATCACCTCCCTTTGTAGCCAGACTTCACCACAGTAGAGGCGAGTTTCTGTCTTTAGGTTTAAACAGCTTCACAGTCAGATGTATCCAGGATGGTCTCTCCGCCACTCTAACTGCAGTCGGTGTAGACAGGAGTGCTTGGTAGGGACCCTCCCACTTGGGCGAGTGCCAGCTCTTCCTCTTTATCACTCTGGTGAACACTTACTCTCCTGGTTTCACTGTCTGTGTAGTGTCAGGTACTTCCTGTGCAGAGGGGACAATAACATTTGTGATCTCTTTTCTTCTCAAAATGTTTGCCATATATTCTGCTGTGTTTTCATTTATACTCTCGTCCTCTCTTACAAATGGTTTTAACTCAGGCAGATAATATGGTCTTCCATACAACATTTCAAAAGGTGATAGCCCTCTAGCACTAGGTAGAATGTGCATGCTTAGCATCACTGGTGCTAAGCATCTCATCCATGGTTTCCATGTCTCGGCCATCATCTTCTTCAGTTTAGCTTTTACTGTACCATTATGTCTTTCTATCAACCCTGCTGATTGTGGATGATAAGAACAATGTCGTTTTAATTGTATTCCAAATACAGCTGTCAAATCCTGAATTACTTTGTTTACAAAGTGTGTGCCATTATCACTATAGATCTTTTCCGGAATGTGATTTGTCAATACTTTGGCCACTGTCAATTTTCCTAGTTGGAAAAACTTCAATCCATTTTTAGTACATGTCAATGATCGTTAGACAATATTTCATTCCCTCATATTTATTTAGTTCAATAAAGTCCATGCAAATGTGCTGAAACGGATACTGGCTCCGGTATTTTACCTATCTTTGTTTTGAACTGTCCCTGAGGGTTATACTGTGCACACACAGAACATGCTAAACACATTTTTTTTAGAGTAGTTTGTAAAGCCATAGGCTGTGAATATCTTCTGTATTACTTCCACCATCCCCACTGTTGAGCCGTGGTCCAACCCATGGCTCAATATAGCTGCATATCGAAATAAGCTATTTGGTAATACAAATGTGCCTTCTGTACTTTCCCACAACCCCTCTTTATTCTGTGTACACACAACTTCTTATTCCAGTATATCTTTTCTTTGTCAGGTGCATTCACTTGCATGTCTTTTTAGGATGTCATGATCAATGTGTTCCATATTTTCAGAAATATATTGGTCATTGTCCTGTCACTGTCTTTGCGCTGCTTTCTTAGCCTCTTCATCTGCCTTTTGGTTCCCTGTGGAAATTGGGTCCGTCCCTGTAGTGTGTGCTGCACACTTACAGACCGCCACTCTCTTAGGGAGTTGTACTGCATCCAAAAGTGATAGGATCAAATCTTCATGTGTAATAGGTTTGTTTGTGGATGTTACCATCCCCCTATTTTTCCATTGTTGTGCAAACACATGTATTGCGGCAGTAATCTTAAACAAAGTGCCGTGAGGGACTAAACAAGAGAAAAAACACTGTGGACGCGCAAAAACTCAGTCTTTCCAACACAGTATGCGTTTGACCCTTTATTTGCAAAAATGCAATATTCCATATCCATATACGTATATCCTTGTATGCGTGCGGTCAACAAAAATTGTCCTTCTCTAGCTCACTCCCCCATCTATTACCAAGTGCGCAGGTAAAGCAACCGGATATAAGCACAAACGTCACCACACAAATCCAATGACACGCCCACCACCTATAGTGACTCAAAAAACATGTATCGTAACAAACACAGAAATGGCTTCATATGTGGCTCCTACATTCCGGCCCCTAATTATATCAACATAATAATTACACAACTGAAAAATGATGTAGGAGACAATCAAGGAAAAAACTTTTACGGATAAAAACGTCCTTTGTTAAAGTGTCCTTTTCTTCTTTAGGCAAAAAATAGAAAATAAAATAAAAAATATATAGTTTGTTGGAGTGATCTTTACTATCACTTAATAAAAAGTCGGAAAAAACGTCAATGTCAAGGTCTATGAAGTTCACTAATTTCCTCACGGCTCTTCTGCTCCTGTAGAAGGCAGATCTTTGTGATAGGCCTGTCCAGATAGCTAGTTTTTGTCTTCACTCGCACCTAACGTACAAGTCCTCTTCTGTCTGGAATGGTTTGTACAATCCTTCCTGTAAGCCATGAATTGCGAGGTGCTGAGTCATCGACTATGAGCACAATATCTCCTGGTATGAAGTTGCGCCTTGACATTTGACCACTTCTGTCGTTCCTGGAGTAGAGGCAAGTACTCCTTAATCCATCGTTTCCAAACAAGTCTGAGATGTACTGAACTTGTTTCCATTTTCGACTAGCATATATGTCCTCTTTATGAAACAGTCCAGGTGGAAAAGATGGCTTGGTTTTTAGCAGCAAAAAGATGGTTAGGGGTTAGTGCTTCCAAGTCATTGGGATCTGTGGATGCTTTCGTTATGGGACGGCTTTTGATGATGAGATTCGGCTTCACAAAGAACCGTGTGAAGACACTCTTCATCAAGGTTTCTTGTGCCTTCAGGCTGGAATTCAGAACCTTCCTCACAGATCTGATCAACCTTTCCCATACTCCTCCATGATGGGATCCAGTAGGGGGATTGAAAGTCCACTTTATTCCTTTCTGAAGGAGGGTGTTTGTTGATTTTAGCAATATTCAACCTTTCTATTGCCTCTCTCAATTAACGCTCAGCTCCGACGAAGTTGGTTCCATTATAATAATAATAATAATATATTTATTTCTATAGCGCTTTTCTTGAACCCAAAGACGCTATCTGAGCGTATTCCAATACTTGTCCACGTCTTGCGATGAAGCGTCGAAGAGCATTAACAAAGGAATCTGTATCCAAGGATGAAGCTACTTCGATGTGGATGGCTCTTACTGTTAAGCATGTGAAGAGAACACCATACTTTTTAACTGTACTCCTTCCTCGCTTGACCTCAAAAGGTCCAAATAGTCAACTCCAACACGAGTGAATGGAGGTTCATCTGGAGAAACTCTGTCTCGAGGTAAATCTGCCATCTGCTGCATTCCTGGAGCTCCATTTAGTCGCCGACAAACAATACATTTTGACAGGGTTTTCCTTATAGCCACACTAGCACCAGGAATTCAGTATCTTTGTCGCAGGCTAGATAGCATGTGGTTACGACCACCGTGTCCCACATCTTGGTGTACTTGCCGTAGAATTATGTCAGAAATGTGAAGATCTTTTGCCAATATAGCAGGATATTTAGATTCTTCAGGCATTGCTGCTCTACTGAGACGTCCTCCCACTCTCAGAACAACATCTTCAAGTACTGGGTTGAGCTTGTAGATGTGACTAGTCCTTTTCACACCTTCTCCCTTTTGCAAGCCTTTGATTTCATCAGGAAACCTTTTTCTTTGGCAAAAGCAGATAATTTCTTTCTCAGCTTTTCGGAGGTCCTCAATAGAAAGAAAACCAGAGACCACCTGAGCCTTGATAGTCTGCATTTCCTTTTTCATCTCTCGGTCTTGTTGTTCCTTATTCAAGCCAGACTGAGCAAGAGTCAGACTCAATTGCTTCCTCTTCCGACTAAGGCACAGCAGCAGGTTTTTCAACCTAAGGATCCAACCAACTGTCTTCTTCAGGTGGATCCAAGAAGAGAAGTGATTGATCAATCGGGTTACAGCATCCATCTCTTTTTCCACCTGCACAGAGTTCACATTCAGACTTATCTTGACTTCAGGGTCTTCTGGTGCCATTTCAGAACCATCAGGGTTCCCAGGCCACTGTTCTTCAGGTCCAGTGAGAAACTGAGGTCCAGACACCCATGTGTCATCTTTCAGGAGCGTTTCCACTTTGACTCCCCTGGAAGCCCAGTCGGCAGGATTGCTTGCGGTGGGAACATATCTCCACTGAGATGGATTTGATACGCTGCGTATTTTTGAAACCCTGTTTGCGACGAAGGTTCAAAACCTTAAGGTCTCATTACTGATGTACTTCAGTACGGAAGTACTATCTGTCCAAAATATGGAGTCTTTAAGTTGCATTTGCAGCTCCTTCCTACACATCTTGTCCATACGACTTGCAACCACGGCAGCCGTCAATTCCATTTGAGGGATGGTTATTGGTTTCAATGGGGCCACTCTAGCTTTTCCCATAATGAAGACACAGTGCACTTGTCCTTTGATGTTATGTAATAACAGGTAAGTCACTGTTCCATAGCCGTCTTCGCTTGCATCTGCAAAGTGGTGTAGCTGAGCAGAGGTCACTTCCCCAAAATCCACCGGTTTTAGGCATCTGTCAACTTTAAACTCTTCGAGATTGCAGAGCTCCTTCAGCCAATTTTTCCACTCTTGTGCAGCTGAGGCTGGTATAATATCATCCCAACCAAGTTCTCTTCTGCACAAGTCTTGAACAATCATCTTGGCTGATAGGACCACAGGTGCCAATATTCCTAATGGGTCAAATATTGAGCTGACCATGGAAAGGATCCCTCTTCTGGTTATGGGTTTGTCCTTGATCATGATCTTGAACTTAAAGACATCTGACTCAACACACCACTGTACGTCCAATGCTCTTTCCACAGGGAGTGTGTCATTATCCAAGTCCAGATCCTTAACTTATTTCGCTCTCTCCATCGAAGGTATAGCAGCAAGCACGATATGTCTGTTGCTAATCCACTTTGTGAGATGAAAGCCCCCTTGAGCACAACGGGCACAATGGTCATGATAGAGTGCCACTGCCTCCTCCCTCTGAAACCACTGATGTTAGACAATCATCAAACATAGAAATTGTGCAGGACAGTGTTGATTACTTTGGGACTGAACTGCTCCCGATGGTCCTCTGCACACTTTCTAAGGGCAAAACGAACACAACTTGGCGACGATGTAGCTCCAAACAGATGTGCAACCATTCTGTGCTCTTCTAAATTCTGATGATGATCTCCATTTGGCCACCAGAGAAACCTCAACAGATCCGAATCCTCAGCTGGTACTCGAACCTGATGGAACATGGCTTCAATGTCTGCCATGAGTACAACAGGTTCCTTTCTGAATCTTTGTCATGACTCCAACCAGTGTGCTGGTAAGATCTGGTCCCTGTAGGAGCTGCGCATTCAGCGATGTTCCCTGGAATGTAGCTGCACAGTCAAATACGACCCTGATCTTTTTCTTCTTTGGGTGGTATACACCATGGTGTGGTATACCATACCCTGCCGTCACTGCATTCCAGATCCACAACTGGCACTTTCTCTGCATAGCCCTTTGAAAGGATGTCATTCATGAAAGCGGTTGTAATCAGCATGAAA